TCTTATAACCTATATAACCTGCTATCTTCCTTATTCTACATCAAAGCTTTCTGAAGAGGCAGTTAACTTTTGTGTAATGAAACAAACAGTTATATATGTTAAAGATATGTCTGCTTCTTTGCAGACATGCAAAAATAGATTAAAAATGATCATTCAGGGAACTGCCTAATGTGGAGGAGGCACCCTTCAAACCCATTTTTAGAAAACAAAAGCATGTCTGTGATTACTTTCCTCACATGGTAAGAATGACATACACTTTTTTCACTTTGCCCTCTACATGTTTATTCTGGAATACGACTTTTCATTCCCAGTTTAGCCTTTAACTGCTTCCTAAATGACAAACTGTGCTACAGGAAAGGAGCTTTACGTTAAGACCAAAATTCTCAGCCAGCTTTGCCCTTCCCTGCTGGGCTGTATTTACAACCACACCTTACACTACTGAGTCTTGAGCAAGCACAAAGTGCCTGCACAACTGCAGCTGATTCAGAACTCTTCACCTGCAGTGAGACAGCCTGTTACACCCACGTTAAACAGGGGTAGGTGGCCATGTGAGACATAAAGCAGGGTAGCAGCAAAACCCGTGTTATAATTCTTGTTATGGCTTTGGGAATTAACTTTTGCTTTAATTTAAAAGACAAGACATTAAGAAGCCAAAAGCTCTTCCTTCACCCACAAGAAAAGACATTCAAGTCATATGTAGTGTTATTACTCACTTGAATCAACCATAACGCTCCAACATGTCCTTCCCTAACTGAAATGTCATCTATGCTACACACTTTATAAATGAGCCTAATGAGTGAGAGGGATTTTCGTACTGCATTAAGGAAAATGTGAGCAAGGTTAAAAAAGAAGGGATGAAATTCTGACATCCCTTCCTGAGCTGAACACTGGTAAAACACTGCAACTTCCAGGGATATTGTGCTTCCGCTTCAACACCACATTGTAAAGGTATGAATGATGATTGATGCTTCCTCATCAGCTTAAAGGATTCTGGAGTGAAGATGCAGTCAGAGATTTCTGTGATGGAGCAAGTAAAAGTGACATAAAATGCTTTAAGTCCCTCTGGCAAAAGAGAGAGGCAACAGCCATATGCATCCTCTGGAGGAAGGCATGAGAGTACAACTGATATTGAAAGTAGAGTATGATAATTTTGTTCTTTTTTTAATTCCCATCATAAGCAGCTCTGCTACAGTTATCTAGAGCTATAGGGGATTCAGGACATTAAATATTCTACATTTAATAGTCTATAGTCTCTAATTATTTCTGCTGAATGGACTACTTCCCCCACACAGTACAAGGCAGCTGAACTCCTTCACAGTAGAGATGGGAAATGCCTGCTTGACACTTGGAACAGAATGACAGTGAATGATAAAGGGTTACCTTACCAGCTCTAGTACCTACTGTAATTAGAATTAGCAGTATGGCACTTTTTGCTTGATTCTCAGACAATATTAAAAGCCAGAAAACATCTGAGTGGAAAACTGAAGATCTAAATAAGCAGAGAAGAAAGCAAAAAGACTCAAGGAATTAGAAGCCAAAACAAGGCTGAGGATGTTAAGTCTGTACCTAGTAGTTCTTATTTTTTTACCTCCTGGGTTGGGGGTAATGGAGCATTTTTAAAAATGCAAAAATACCTGACAAGTGCATTTATACAGGTATTTATAAAGTTTGAAAACAAACCCAAAACTAACCTCAGAGCAAATTATATGGGCACAGTATTCTGTTAATTTCATTACAGTTGTATTGTGAAACAAATCAACTCTCAAAATAGTAGTCTGAAAATAGTATTCACACATTATGTGAAATGTGTAATACTCGGCTTTTTGGAGCAAGAGATGTAAAATTATTACAATTACCTCTACCTATAAATAATCTCTTTGTTTTTAAAAGCATGTATAAATAACAACACTTCATAGAGCTAACATTTAACTTCCTAGTTGAGAGAACTACCTGAAATAACTGGAAAGTTTAGTCCTTTAAGAGATGACTCATTTCATGATGAAGGAAATGTAAGGCACAGGTTCTCTAATGAACACAAGAATGAGGGTGGGCTATGAATTTTTTTATGGATATCACATCTCTATAAACATCAAAGGCTGACAAACAATCTTTCTCTTTTCAATAACTTGCCCTATGTGCATTTGCAGTGGGCAACCTGAGGAAGTAGCTTATGGGGAAGGGAGATCTTGGAGTTTCCAGGCATACAGAATCTGCAGAAGTTTGCTAATATGGTATCCCCCACAGACAGCTCTGTGAAGTGGTTTGATGCCTGTGATCTCTGGACAAGGAACCAATGTGTCCTGTGCATGCTTGGGATATTCCCAGAGAGCAGCCAGATGACCCTGCCTTTTACAATCAGCAGAGGAAAGACTCATTCTGGGTCCCATGGAGAAAGGGAAGAAGCCACTGGAGGCCAAAAGTTACAATGCCAAAAGAGGAAAACATTTTGAGCACTGACAATGAAGTAAAATGAAAAAAAAATGGAGCAAGCTGCTGCAGCAATTGAGCAGAGACCAAACGTCAGATACTCAGCAGGAGTGAGAAGGAGAGAATTGTTCCTCAACTAGAAGAAATGGCCAAAAAGGAACAGAAACTGAAAGATCACAGGACAAAAAAATCAATGCAGAATGAAAACAGGAGCCCTCCTGCCCCTGAATACTAGCTCCAGCCCAAGGCACTTGAGAGGAACTGTGATACCCACATTACTTTGTATAAACTACATCTGTTTACTATTAGAGTTACCAACAGAACATTTTTGGAGAATATTTCCCACGGATGATTGCACTTTTAATAGTGCATATAACAGAATATCTAGAATGCCAAGGTTTGTAATGACCCAACCAAACCTTTATGTAAAAAAATGAAGAGTAAAAAATAGCTATCCAAAATGCCCGTTACTCTGCTAACATCCTTCTACAAATATCCACATGCCACCTACAACACATCAATGAGAAAGCCTCAAGCTTGGAATGAAACAACAGTGATGGGAGAAAATAAATGGAAAAAGATGTCCTCTTGCTTTTTATCCCCTTCACTGCTTTGGATGTACACACTGTTAGGCCTTTCAGCTTTGTTTAATTATTTTGTGCAGGAGACTGGAATCCTTAAGTGTTTATATGTGCAAACGTGGTGAAATTCAGTAGCTATATGAAGAAGTTAATAGGAATTTTTTTAAGCTACTGAACTATTCCTCCACTTCTACTGTTTCAATTTATCATTCCTTAAAATTCAATAAATCCATACCAAACCATTAAGTAATTTTGTATCTGCTTCAATAAGCAACATTTGATTAATGATAAGAAGAATGACTAGGGGTGGTATTACCACGAAGACCCATGCAGTGCAACATATTTTCTCCATCCTACTGGAAAAAAATATTGTGTAACTGAGACCAGTACTGTCTAGCAGTGGCAGATCCCAGAGTGGAAATTCAAGGATGCCATTACTGTATCTGTGACCTGTGTGAAGGCTGCATAGATCTGCTGTTTTTTATCTCCCCCATGTGGTTAAGAAAGTTAGTAAGTTCGCCTTAGAGCAGCAGCTTCCTTCTCCTCCAGAGTATCCTCGAGTCAGATGAAAAGACTAGTGGTGGTCTAGGAAAACTTTAAGGCTGAACAAAAATTCATTAAAAAAGCAGAAAGCACAGGAAATTCCCAGTCTCACAAGAGACTTAGTTACTCCACATATTCCCATGTAACCCCTAAATTTACCTGTTAACTCTCTTTCCGGTATACAAATGACTGAGTTACAACTTGAAATAGTACCCACGTTAGACAGTTTACAAGTGGGTTTAATCACGTCAGTACAGATTTACTAATAATTTATAATCCATTTTGTCGTTGAAATAACTAATATTTCAAGCAGCTGGTATCAGAGGTATCTCAACTAGTATAATCTCATTACAATTAATAGCCTCAAACCATTCAATTGCCATCTATCACTACTTCTCACACAGCACTGATTACAGTTACTTTCCATTTTTCTTTTATGTCTCCTGTAAATTACAGTAAATAAGCAGATAACCTTCACCCTTTTAATTCTATGTATGTTTAAACAGTGGTGGAAAGGGTATGGAAAAAGAGGAGGAAATCCTTACTGTTATTTTACCTATGTTCTAAATCTGTTATAAACATTAATGTAGCTGTAGGCCAGTTTAGACAGGATATAAACGACTGTCCTCTACTTTGCTCTTTTCTTCAATCACTAAAGTTTACTTAATATTCATGAAAAATACTTTTTATCCCTGGAAGCTAAAAGCTTCTCTTTATTCACAGACCAATTACACCTCTGGCTGTATCATAAATTACCTACATTATCAGGATAATATACCTATAACCTTATCTGGAGGACCAATCTTAGATAGGAGAAAAGAGATTTGTTTTCATGCCTAATAATTAATAAAAATGCTTTGCTGTTTATTTTAGTAATAAAAAGTGCTCTTTATTTATGGTTGTTAAATATTACCAGGATGACTAGGAAATCTTTCAAAGTCAGTGAAAAATTTGAAATAGGGAATTTCTACTGCTGTTTGTGCTTACTGCTCACACGCATTGAATTTCCCAAGAGATATATATGCAATCTGGTGATTGATCTTCCCAAAGAAAGGCCTAGCTGGAGGCAGCTGGCTTGAGCTTGGAAAAAGCAGTCACCAAACAGGCATCTTTCTCATTATGACAGGCAAGGGTGGCACTGAAGGTGATATTAAAACACTCTTCTTGTCTTGTCAAAGCTGTCCCTGCAATGGGGATGAAACGCGCACAGTTTTCCACAAACTGAAGTTCAAAAGTACACCTGAACTTCTACTTCCATTGGGGAAAAAAAAAAAAGAAGAAGTAGAATTTGGTAGAAACAATTTAGCAATTAAAACTTTTGCTTCAGGTGTAACCTTATGGATCCACCGCTCTTTTATGCCCACAACTTTATTTTTCATTTCTTATGGCAAGTGGTGATTTTACAACAGCTAAGACTAACAGTTGTTTTAGTCAAATGTCCATTCTTACCCTGCAAAGGTTTTCAGAAAAATTCATGATGTTGATTGAAATTCCAGTGTTTATCTATTCCCAAAGCAGTATTTTCTCCCACGAAGTATGAGCAAGATTCTTCCTAGATCCAATAGGCGATACAGTGGAGACCCACAAATTAAAACATTGTTTGTTTTAAAAATGATTTTAAATACATTGGTCTTAAGAAATAAGGCTAAAACAAATAGGCTTAAAATCTGAAAGCTGATTTGGATGGAAATCTCTCCTAAGTAGTACTTAAATGTCATTTTCTACATGAAAAATAATTTGTAGCACATGTACCAGAGAACAGTTACATGATTACTTTTAAGAAAGAACAATGGAAATTACAGGTTTGACAAGTATATACCATGACCAAATTAAACACTGTTTTTCTGCTCTGCATAATTTAAAGATACAGAATTTGCTTTTTTAAACAATACTGGCATTTGGAAATTGTTTATATCACAATAAAAGTATGCAACATTATTCCTGCTCAAGTTCCCAAGCTTTGTGTAGCTAGACAACAGTGTTATCCTTAGTTCACTGTAATCATTTTTTGTAAAGTTTCTTTGTAATCAGTTCCTGTGCACAAGTGAAAGAACAAAACCAATAATAAAGTTCAAGACGCTACCGTTAAGAGTAGCTTTTAGCTCTGTAAACTCAGTGAGTCACTGCTGATGCTTGTTAATATGGCAGTAGAAAATGGTACGAGCGCTAGCAAATCAGAGCAGCTTTGCAGTGATTTCCAGTCCATGTCACCTGCCCTTGTGGCCTTCAACCTTAAGAAAACCCAAGTTTGAACAGCAGTGGTCAAACACTTCCAAACACAGTGGTCAACACTTAGCCAGCTGTGTGCACTGCACAGGGATCTTCATGCCCACCATACAGTGGTGGGCATGGAATTGGCTGCACAAACAGGTAAGTGGCTTTTTAATATTATTATATTGCGCATGTCTCCTACGTTAAGTTTTAGAGTGTATCTGTATACCAATTGTGTACAACTTAAAAGCTGTGCAATATAATAAAGAAAAATGCCACTTACCTGACTTTCCATAACTGGGTCTATAAGAATTCAGAGTCTCACTAGTATGCTAAATATCAGCATGTCATAGGGGAGCAAAGAGTCAGTCTTTTGACAACGAAGAATGTCATGTAGCCTAAAAAAAAATTACAAATGGTTTTTGCTTCTCTAAAAGAAAAAACAGCTATATTAATTTTTTCTGTTAAGCCAATCATTTAGGCTTTCCTTCCAAAGAAACAGAAAGTGTTTCTGTCACTTTCTGTCAATATTTCACAGGTGTTTCTGCCACTCCACATACCATTTCTATATTCCTTTAAAAGAGATTCACTAATTTTCCTAAGTGTTTTTCCTAATTGTGATTTCTCTGTTGATAAATAAAGATACCTCCAATAGATACATCTCTTTCTAAATCTATTTAAACCATGTTCAGGAGCAGGAAAGAGTGTAACAAAGCTGGAAGAATTTCACAGCCAGACACAAAAAATTACTGTCAATAACCAAAATAATTGTTTGTAAAACTACAGAAAATATACTGCAGCTTTAGAACACTGTTTTAGTGTTCAATCAAGCTCAAATAGTAAAAATAAAAAAACACCTGTATTTTGAGAATGCATCAGTCCCACAGGTGTCTTGACACAGCATGATAAATAAAATGAATGAAAATGTGACTTGTAAAGGGCATGACAAAAATAACCAAAATCAAAATCAAACAACCCAACTCTACCAAAAGCAGACAAACCCAGAAAAATCTACCAAATTCTGAAAAACTGAAATTGCAGTGTGTCATCAATAAAATTTATACATCAGACTTTGATTACAAAAATAAAAATTACTTGCCCTTTACATACACACAATACAAAGAGATATGCTGAAATATTGATATACAAAATAACAGCAAGCACTCTGAGATCCTCTTAGTGCAATGAAAGCTGAATTGGTGGGAAAAAAGTACGTTCAATTTTCCGCAGAGGCATACTTTACTTGTACTCAATAATCAGGCTAGACAGATACCTAATGCCCAAGGGTACAGCATCCTTTGATATGGAGTACAGAAACCTCCGGTACAGAACATTATATGGAGGCAAAATTCAGCCCCCTTCTGACTGAGGTCAACTGAAAACCAGCTTTACATGTGAGATCAATAGGCAAATGAGTAACATTTCTAGCCTGACACTATCTATGCAGTGGTAATTTGATACCACTGATTCTTCTAAGAGTATGGCTTACAATGATTTAATTTCCTTCTTATTCACAATATCTCCAATTCAAACAAACCAACCTCTATGATGTAAAACTGTTGGTTACTGGGGACAGACTACAGCAATATATTTTCCTCTGACATTACACAGTATTCCAGTTAACATTTCTTGACTCCAGTTTGACGTTCATTTTTGCAAAGATACGTGCCAGTGAAATAACAAAGGCTGAACTTTAGGTTTATAGTCATTTCTACACAAACTCACAACAGAATTAAGAATAAAATGTTACTCAGTTTTAAACAACCAGAAAACTTCCACCGTGTCTCTGTAACGTCTGGCCAAAATGTTTCTGTACTTGGTGCTTTTCAACGATAATCAAGAAGTTCATTACCAATGCTCACAAGTTTTAACAATAATTTGCTCGATGTCTGCTGCTTATTAAGGTTTCCGTTCCCAGATGCTCAATGGAATTAGAATTCAAAACTGAGGAAGAAAAAAGTAAACTTGAATTTCTTCACAGATTACATAGGAACTAAAATAAACTCTTTGGGATCCTTGAGAACAAATTCAAAACTCACATGAACTTTAAATCCAAACCACTGTAAGCTCTCTAAAGGAAAGCTGAAAATCTAAAAGGCATTTCCTGAAAGAAAAATATACTCACAGAACCCAACACCAAAAAGCGTTTTCATGTTAAGCAAGCTGTAAACCAACTTTGGTATATATAAGTGAAGGATTACCTGCTTTGAGAAGGGAGAATCCAAGCAAACAGGCTAAGATAAAATGCATAAATCATGTTCTACACGACTGAAGTTTGTGGCAGAACCAGAATTAAAATGTGATTTTTCAAAAATTCTGTTCTTTCATTACCTCACAGTCTTCGCAAGTTTCTTAGGTATCCAAAAATAGAACAAGTATAAATATACACAGCTTTCCCACTGTTATAGGGCAAAGGGATTACACTATTTTACTCTTGCCAAATTCCATTAATACTACTTAAATGTTTTCTTTCATCTCGGGAGAGACCTTTTTTCCAGTGTCATGTCCTTCGCATTCGTTCTTTAGCTGTGGCATTGCTCTCCATGCATCCTCTTTTTCACTAAATGGTGACTACCATTTCATATAGGGTACTGCAAAAATATCTATAATTAATTCAAAGTTGTGTCACAGAAGCATGGTCCTTACATGTGGTTTGAACCTTTCAGATGAAAAGACTACGCTAACAACTATTTGTACCATGGGTAAAAAAACCCTCAAATTGTTTATTAAGGAGCATTTTACAACAGCACCTGTTTGTTGCCTTATAGTTAAGTGCTCAAAGACAGCTTCGAAAGAAATGTGTTCCCATGAGTAAGGGCTATGCAGCAAACACATAACTCTCTCTTAAAATGCCTTTGAAAATTCTGGGGAGAAGAATGCATTACATACCTTAGCCATTGTTTTCCAAAAGACTTCTGATGAAAAGAAAGCATGAGTTTAGTTAAAGGTTAAAACAATGATATACTAGCACTAATAATCTCTAAAGATACCAAACCCATCAAATACTAAAACCAATAACAACCACTAAACCCCCTACTACGTGTTTTATACGGGAAAGAACACCCGAATCTTCCACAATACCCCTACAAAAAATTGTATCATGAAATTACTAAACACTGCAGGACTATTACATATTTTGGACCCTCCAAGGAGGTTGCAAGGTGGACCTGTCATGAAGGGGAATATCCTTCATTCCTCTGATGTGGCTCCAGTGGGAACCAGAAGTTCATCAGGTAGGGAGTCAAGAAAGTGCAGTCTATCTGCAAAGTACAATGTTTTACTGACACCCTCTTCATCCTTCCCACCTGTCTGTG